TATGTTAAATGTAACCTACCCTATTCTGTAAAAACACTATCAACATCGAAATGAGTTATCATTAAATCATTGTTCGATATTAAAAAATAATGTAGTGATATAACAATAAAATATAATATTAGCAGACTTTATAATGAAAGTATTACCTAATATTAAAACTCTTCTTTGAAAAATATCTGGCAATTTAAGTTATAGGTACCTATTTAAATCAAAAATACATATACATAGATAATAGATCATCAGGATCGTCCCTATTTAATTGTAATTTAATATTTTTAATCATGTTAAACCCAACTATTTTATTATATAAAATTTTTTTCCTATTTAAATAATTATACCTTAATTTTAATATATAATTTTTATAACTAACCGATAAATATTTATATCGATCAAATAATCCTCCATTTTCTGAGAAACCTCCAATGCGTTTGATGCTTCTGCCATCCGTAGATAAGTATCGCAGTACGTTTCCGTAATCGATTGCCTGCATGTCGATCCCTCTAGTAATCCTACGAAGTCTACGTCTGCCGTCGACGTGCCAAAATGTGCCTCGAATAATAAAGGTGCACCAACAACACCCTCCCGAGTATCCACATATGTGGCTGATGTGGATGTGGTCGTCGTGCTCGGCAATAACGTAGAAATGTCGGGGAGGGTACTTGTCAATAAGGTAGTCCAGCTCTCGCAGACACCTTTGAACTCCCCTAACACCACGCGGCACAATGATGCTACTGACATATCTATAAAATTAAAATGATTAATAAATATAAATAATAGTTGTAAAATTTAATTAAAATTACCTGTGTATCCCGGACATAAATTTTGAAGTGAGTTCACGTCCAAGTTGGACAATGAGGTCTTCATATTTCTCCTGATTTGATTGTAAAGTGTCGTCATCTCTGTCGCCGACAACATCATCGTATTCTCCCATATCTTCTGTATCTCCGAACTCATCCATTTCTTCGGGTGAATTACTACGTCGATCACGCTCAAAGGACAAACCACGAAAATAATCACGATCAGAGCCGTCAGAGGATACTGATTCGTCTCCGTCGGATAAAAAATGTCTAAGAAATCCAAAAGGATTTCTTCGTTCGTCAGGTCTTTCTTCATCGTGGCCAAGGCGTATGTTTTCAGGTTCGTGAGTTTTTGCGACCTTAGCTCCGCCTCTATCTGCAGTTTTGTTTGTACCGAGTCCGCCGTCTTCTTCACTATCTTCGATTTTTTCGTTGTCGGACCCATCTGACGATCGCTCTTTCGCTTCGGTGATCCATCGCCAGAGCAGCTCTCTTGGTGGTTAATCGTAATCCTTAGTATAAAAATATATTGTACAAATACAAGAAAGATGACTTCCTAGTGTGCTGTATAGCGTGCAGTGTGTCCTTGCCACACAATATACTATTGAAGTACCTGAAGTACATTCAATGACGTTATATAACTATTATTATTATTTTTTTTTTCTGTTAATCAACCCACGGCAACTTAGGCCATTGGGTTTTTTTTTTACTGTGGGGGAGGGTACTGTAAGTTTTAAAAAATAACTGTAAGTATTTTGGTATTGGCAATTTTTTTAGTGGGCACTCGTAGGTACCTATCTGCCATGGCCGGGTGGGGGATGGTGGCACTTTTCTCTGGACACCGTGACTTGCCCGAAGAAAAATGCCACCCGCGGACCGGCATCGAATCGGCGCCGGTGCGCTTCGCAACCAAGGGCGTTCGCAAGAATTTGTCAAGGGGAGGGCAAAATAATTCCTTTTTACATTTTTTGTCTCACTATTCTATTAGTTACAAAGTATTTTTGTTACATGTTGTCCGTTCATATAGACAAAGAGTGTAAAAATATTTATGAATTATACGTAGATAGTACCCAAGTTAAAACTTAATCGTACAGCATTAATTTTAATTGATTGTTATGTAATTTTAAATTATCAAACACATGCTAAATCGAATACTCGTAGAATCAGTTTATTTATATTGTAATATTTCGACAGTAAATTGTTTCCAATAAGCATTTAACTGTTTATAAGTTTGGTATTGTAATGTTTATTTAAGATGTCGAAGACTCCAAAAATCAAAATTGAACGGTGGCGCCGAACTAAACCTATATATTCGGAGAGCCAGAAAAATGCCCTATAAGATGAAAATTAATGTAACGGGCGATGTACCAGGTTGCAAGTCTGGTACAAAAACGTGTGGCGCGATCTGTACTATACCTGATGACAAAATTAAAATAAAATAAATATTTAAAGTGAATATAGAAAATACCATGAGCATTTTTCAAATGTTTATTGAGGCTGGTCTTGTAACTGAACGTAATGCCGCACCTAATACACGGTATACGAATACCCTCGTGCGTTTTTTCGTGTCTTGTCAGATTACGTTTCGCTGTAAATTCCGAAGCACATTTGCTGCATTTGAACAATTTCGAATGTGTTTTTCGGTGAGCGATCAGATTTGACTCGTATACGAATCCCAAAGAACATTGCTCGCATTTAAACATTTTAAAATAAACGGATAAGAAAAAATTAATACGTTATATAATAATTACGTGCGTAGTATTAGCGCAGAGCGAACGAGATGTAGGTTAATATAATAGAGCACTATATCACCAACTGCGGACAGTAATGAATAGTGACTATTCATTCATTCAAAAATCCCTACCGCCGCCGCCACCGCCACCACTGATCCCCGTCACGTGACAAAATACAGAGTCGTCGGATTGTCCTATATATCGGGTGTACTAATATCCGTATGGTATAGTGTTCAAACCATCTGTTAAAAAAAACTATGAAATCGGGCTCAAACGTATAACGGAAGACTGTATAGTTACATTTTCTAGATGAGATATACTTTTCGCATGCAGGGAAATATATTTACAATTAAATATTCCAATTTTCTAATATACCATACCCGTAAGTCCAATCCCTTAACATCATTAATCTATCTAAACTTAAATTACCTAATTCTACATTTAAATTATATACACTATTATTATTATAACTATGAATACGAGTACTACGATTATTATATACAGTATCACTTAAGGCTAAATCTAAATATTCTAAATTATTAATAATATATATGCTAGGCCCCATTTTTTTTTGAAAAATTCTAAACAATAAAAGATCCCAATAATTTTTAGCTATACATGAACTCCTTAATTCTAAATTTCTAATATCATAATTTACACAACGTCTTATTTTTAAAAATACCTCCTCCCAATAATCCCTACTTGTATCTTGTAACCACATCACACTCCCGGATAACAAATTATCATTCCAAATAATGTGACCATGGTTGTCTACTAATTGGTAGGTTTGCTGAAATATTTTCCGGAAAAATATTCGAAGTCACGATGCGAATATATTTTTAACTCCGGCTTAATAAAACTTAAATTTGTAATTATTGTCGGGTTTATATTTAAATTAAATTTAGCGTATACAAATTCCCGCCATTCTACGCTGGTGGACATATGGTATTTTTTATGAAATTTTTTTTTTCCCTGCATGCTTCACAATTCCATTCGAAATGACGGTGATTGTCTAATGACGCCTCGCAATGAGACGTCATTAGACCCTCTAGAGAAGTATGAAAATACCTCTCGATTACTTCTAAGGCTTTAAAAAATAAAAATAAAAATAAAAATCCTGGATATAAATATTAGGCAATGATACTTACTATATTCGGCGTCCATAGTATGCAAAGTATCGCGTTGATTATTGCGTGTTATGAGCTAGTGATACGACGTTTGGAGTACAACTAATTCTAGTTCGTAATATATGTTTTTGATGAGAAAAAGTATATTTCTATAACTATGAAGAGCATTGTCTATGAACTATCGTAATCAGGCAAATTTTTACATTATCACTATATATATATAGTTATATGCGGAGGAAGATTTCCAGCCTCTGCTCAACAAACTTGTAGCATGTATTATCAGTTATGCGGTGTACATCATATGGTTTAACGAGATATAGTTAGCTATATGAAGGTGGTGTATAAAATATATATATATATACCTGTATATATTATAAATAGGTGCAAATATTGTAGAAAGAAGAATGTTATACGTAAGGGAAAAAAAATAACGCGGTGAATAGTTGTAAAGAAACGTTTATTAGTACCTGCATATACATCGTTAATTTATCTACAAATTTTGTACTACATTAAATATTTTAACAGCTTATCATGCAAGGGAACCGGGTTCGAATCCCGGTCTGACGGATAAATTTTTAAATTATTTTCCACGCGCGGCGGCAATGTCGAGCGGTGGTCATAGGTGGCGGTGTGGCGGGGGTACATCGTTAACGTGTGTGATATATGGTGGGTTCAGCAGCCGGTAATGTATAGGGATGTGCAGGGGGTATAGTGAAGAGCGGGGTGGTGGGGCATATCGTATACGTGCGTGATAGTTAGCTCATCCCATGGGTTGAGCAGAGAGCAACCATGGGTTGAGCAGACGGTGTAGTGGGTTGAGCAGACGGGTATAGGGATGAGCCAGCAGGTTGAGGTTCCAGAACTCTCTTTTTATTCCTACTCCAGAGTATAAACTTTACTATATACATGTATATACCAGAATATATACTGTAACGTCTCCTCTTCACCTGGGGCCCCCAGGTTAAGTTAGGTTATGAATATGAATATGAAGTTTGTATATATTTTCATTCAAAATATGATAATATTATACAAAACTGTATACCCTTCAATTAATATTTGATTAGAGTAAAGTCGAATACAATAAAAGCTTTAATATTTATAAGTGTGTGTACCTATTTCGTAATTCGGTGTTTCCATTTTTCCATACACAGTTGTTTTCGTCTTCGATAAATCGTTAATGTTATCCCTGCGTTCCGTGGTATTTTCACGTTCAGATTCATCGGTTTCATCATCGTTTGTCTCAGTGTTTTGCAGCCAAGGTTTTAAATTTATTGGTTTTGCTGGTAAGCACCCGTAATATTTACACAAATTTCCAGCAATATCGCATTCTTTAAAATGATATGCTAAAATTGACCACCGTCAACACGTGCTCTGAGTTGGGCACGTGTTATTAACGCACGTGAGAACGTTTGTATGTGCACTGCATGTATCCAATGTTTTTCTAAAAGTACATGTATTGATTTCGGTATACATTTTATACCTGAACGTTTTAAAGCTTCTGTAGCTTTACATAAATGTGCTTGACTTATTTGTGTAGATGTGTCATGCTTCTTTCTTGAAATTTTCAATTGTGGAAATAATGGTGAAGTGCTTTGTTCAGTCTTAGGTCCAATTACTTGTTTTTTCAAACCTTTATTTTGTATAATGACTATATCGTCTTTTATAAAATTAGTAATATCAAAATTACTTATAATTGTATAGTCATCCAAATTGGTAACATAATATGCAACGTCGCCTGAAGTTTGGAAATGATAATTTTTTATTATAACACGTGAGCTTTCGTACTTTCCACTTTTTAAATAATGTCTTTTTGTAATTTCCATATTATTAAATTTCTTTAAATAATTCAGTACTTCGTTGAAAATATTAGACGGAAACAGTTTCTAATGCAAATGTTGGATGAGTGCTTGCATAGTTTTGTAAAATTCGTAATAATATCATTGATTCTGCGGCATGCCGTGATTGTGTATTTATATTTTTTAATAATGGATCAAACCTTATATGCGCCACTCTTCGTACGTTTTTAAAAATGTCTTGCGGAAAAAAATGATATATTTTACGTATTTTGTAAAATTTTACAAGTTCTTCATGCAAACATTTTATGCGTTCAGCTTCTGATGAATTTTCACCACAGTCGCATGTGCATATCTTATTCAATAGCGACATTACGGAGTGTCATCACGGAGTATTGAAAATAATTATAATAATAAGTGTTATAAATAAAATTAATATGTTGAAACCTATATAGGTATGTATTGTTATGGGAGGAGGTCTATTTTTTTTTAAATAGATTAATTATCACTATAATACTATATATGATTATAATAGTATATACGATTTTTTTTTTAAGCGTTTTAAATTATTTAGACATCTACATGAGCGCGGACGAGGTTGAATAAGGACAAGTGCATCATATGCCATCTAGACGTATTTTCAGCATTTTGCCTATAATTTTATCGTCATTGAAATTAACTCCTCTACCAAAATTCATTCTTAAAACTGCACTATTGTTTGTAGCCAATTGATAGTCAAATTTTATTTTAGTACAGCTTGCAATATTGTATATATAACATTACATAACTGGTTTTCGATCAATAACAATAATTTTGTTAATGATTTTGACGGTTTAAATAATTTATCAACGCTTCGATTTCAAAACCTTTGTCCAAACTTAAAACAAGTGTTTCCAACTTATTATCAAAAATTTTAGAATCTAATAACCGAGCCATCGAAGTTCCATAGTATGTAGATAAATGTTTCAACTTTTTTAATTTTTTATTATTTTCAATAGTCGTATACCACTTGTCTGGCAACATCCAATTATACGAAAAATGTACAATTTCACAATCAAAAAAACACATGAAACCACATATCTGTAAATTCGTTTCGTTTTACAGAAGTATTAATATTACAAGCTACGGTACTTAAGATGTTGCTAGGTCCATGCTTAAAATAATATATGTATTATTAAATAAATATTATATTATATAATGTTTCTTTTCGTAATCTCGGAATTCATGTTTGATATACCCATTTTGAAATGTAGCTTCAAATAATTGACTATGCAATAATTTTAAAAAACTTGATCTACGACTTTCATTAAAGACAGTAATTATAACCAATTATTATTTGCATATGGCATATGACATATTCGAATTTGGATAACATCGATTTACGGGTCACCAAGTATCCTTGATGTAATTTTCACTCGGCAATATTGGGTAAAATACTCTTGCACAATATGATTATTCATGTAAGTTATGTGCAAGCCATTGAGTGGTCTTTGCTTGCCATACGAATAATATTTGTTGGCCGTCAGAACGGCCTTTTAAGTGCTGTGTGTTTTGTACCGTATCAGTATGTATACTGGATTTATCTTTAGTGATCGAGGTTATCAATGATGCTTGGCCATAAAATACAATAACGAAATATCGTTCTTCACAATTAAAATGGTTATTTTTCGATACGGTTTCATCTTTAAACGTGTCAATAACATAGTTATCGGATAATTTCATTTTTGTACCCGACGGAAGTATAAGAGTGTTATCTTTGGTGTTTGCTATAGCCGAACCTTCTGATAATTATATTTTGAATTTAGCTTGTACTACGACGTTTTCCCATTCTCCTCTACTCGATTTAAAATTCATGCTTATACAATTTCCAGTGATCCTGCCACTGTGTGCTATATTAATGTTGCTTCGTTCATTTGCAAATCCTTTATTTAACCTCTAAGGGGAAAAGTATATGAACGTTTTTGATGAATTTCCAAACATCGAGCATTTCCTAAATCTACTACTTCAGAAAAATACCTTCCCTCTACTAATTGTGCATCTTCAAATATTGAGCATCTTGTTATTAAATAATCAACTGATATCAAACACGACCTAAAATGAACAGGGTAAGTTTCATTCCTTTGTAGTAATTGTATTCTAGGTACCTGTTGGGTTGTTTATGCTATTGGAAAATCACAGTTGTCCACTTCTAAGCTGTCAAAGCTTACTCCTCACTCCTGTCCATACACAATATTAAATCCAATTTTTTTTTCAAATTCTAATTTCGCTAGTGGCTCCATAACTCTTCCATATTCAACTGATTTTATTTTATGGTTCATGTTTCCGTATAATAATACATGCATTGTATTCTTACACGAAGTATTAATCCTCATCTTACATATTTTCCCAAACTTTGAGGCTGTTAGACGATGTTTCCTTTCAGTATACCAAACTTGAGATTTTGCCTGAGATTTTGTTACTTTCTCCAACATTTTTAAAATTCAATTACATAATACATTGGTAGCATTTTGTAGGTAAATAAATATTTAAAATACAAGGTAGGTAATCATTATTTCGAAAAAATTTAACTTTTTGAAAATAATCTTATACATATTTTCAAGTCGTAATAAAACAACATAAAAAAAAAATGTTATACAGGCTGTAACTGAAATAACTGACCAAAAAAAATCTATGCTACTTAAACGTTTGACAAAAATTCATAAAATTATATGATTAGTAAATATTTTAAGATATATACCCATGTTAGCAAATTTTCAAAAATAATATTTTTAAAAAAGTTATTTCGTTCCAAATTAATTTAATCAAAAAAATATTGATATTTTAAAAAATAAAACTACATAAAAATAATAATAATAATTATAATACTAAAATTATCTAAAACTACTTGACTTATATAAATGTTTTTACCATCCTAATCGTTCTTATAGTCAGATTGACAAATTGCCTACTCAAAAAAAATTCAAATCAAATTTATAATTTTTTATTTTTAGTACTAAAAAATAAAAATATTTTTATTTTATTACATGTGTAGCACAAGTGGCTATAAATTATATACAGGGTTCGGCAAAAAATAATACATGTATATATAATATATATACTCCTGTATAATATATTATAATATATAATAATAATATGGGAGGTTTTTTTGCCGGACCCTGTAAAAACAAAAAAATTTAAAATATTGATTAGAACAAAAGTTATTCCAAAAGTCAGTTCTTTCTGTTACACCCTTTATATATTTTTGAAAGACAACATACATTTTTAATGTTGTATTCCAATGTTATTTAGAATACGAAATTTATAAATACCTCTATCAGTTTTCATTAATTTATCAATAAACTGTTTTTTTTTTACACAAACAACCCTAATCCCTTAATATCAGCGCTACACTCTGACACCATTCCTGGCAATCCTCCGCGTAGATTAAAGAGAAGACGGTGTCGTAAAAATTTGAAAAATACAAAATTACTAGCTGACCCCTTGCACTTCGTCACCCGTTAAATATATCAACTCAATATGACTCAAACTTTGTTCAATTCATTATTCAATATTCGGTGTATGGTGTTCAAAATTTATCTTATCTTTTCCGTTGCCCGGAATAAAATTCTGAATCGCAGCAGTACATTATCAGGTAGGCAATCTACCTGCGGTAGATTGCGGACCCCGTGCTGTTTGTACGGAAGTGTATGATTTAACTCTAAAGTATCAAAGAAAAAAGTTATACTTATTTTGATATAATACTGTGGATTAATATAACAAATTTGGTTGCTCGTAAAAAATCGCAACTCTAAAAAAAATTATGATTGTTGAACTCCTTTTGGGTGTAACTTGCTGCGGTAAGTGCAACTCAGCCACCCTGGTAGGCAATGTTCAATAATTCGATTTGATGCAAGCTTGTACCTGATCTGTTCGAATAACCAATAGCAACCAATAAATAAATGCTAATTTCTAATGTAGACTGTAACCAATGGCAACTATAAATAAATAAAAATAAAATTTCCAATTTCTATCGTGAATCTTAATGTCCCTTTTTCAGCACCTATTTAAAATGCGAATTTTGGCAAATCCTTTCTTAGCGAACGTCTATATCATAATAGCTATCTGTATGCCAAATTTCAGCCAGATCCGTCCAATGGTTTGAGCTGTGCGTTAATACCAATATTGTATATTTAAATTAAATATTGCTTGATAGATGGCGCCACTATCATTTTCTTTCAACCCCACTTTTACCCCCTTGTAGGTCGAATTTTCAAAAATCCTTTCTTAGTGCGCCCTTACATTGCTTAAGGAACCTCTGTACAAAATTTCAAGTCTCTAGACCCAGCAGTTCCGGCTAGGCGATGATGAATCACCCAGGACAAGTCTTTTTATATATACAGATTGTATTTTAAAATATAATAATAAGCTTTATTTTAGATAGGTAATTCTATAGTACACTGCCATTGAAAATAAAAATTCTCTTATTGTGATTAAATTAAAATTTGAAAATAGGTATTTAAAGTATATATTCTATATAATAGATTTTAAAACATATTAATAATAATCAAGAGTAGATACATACATCTAATCAAATTTGTTTATTAATTATCTACCTATTATTAAAAATTTTCTACAAAAAAAATATTTAATTGCACTGGAAAATTAACAATTTATATAAAATATTATACAACCTTGTTAGTAATTTGTTGTATCGGTACTTTTTATTGACATCCCATCTATCAGCTACATACAATATTATTTATATAATTTATATACCTAATACATTATTTAATTTTATACATACACATTTAAATATATGATTTTTTTATAGGAATGAATAAAATTTCTGGGATAATTAATAACTGAAAATTGCCTAAGGTTAATAAGTTATAATTTGTCAAAATTCATTAAAACGTATAAGAAGGTACAGGTTTACGGTTTAAAACCTTAGATATTGACAATAATATTAAAACCAGGATTAAAACATATCATATTCAGTATTTTGATTAAAAATTACTAACTATGATATTTACCTCGGTCTATTGTTTGTTTAATTTTTAAATTAAAATAAAAAATGAAAAATTACTATTCAAATCTATTAAATACCTATCAAAGAAAGTTTATGGTAACACATGAATACATTTAAGAAGAGCTAATTAATTTTAATACCTACTTAAAAGTTGTAAGTCATAGAGAAGCAATGAATAATGATAATACGTAAAAATGAAAAGATATAGCTTCAATTTATCAATAAGTATGTTACAAGTCAAATATTCTGTTAAACCTATGTGTCATACTCAAGCTTAAAATTTGTACCTACCGAGTTTTGCATAAATAATATTGCTAATATAATTTAAAATTAATTGTTATACACTTAGAGTCGGTTTGAAATAATAATATATCATATTATTATCATGTACCTGATATGAAATACAAATTTATTAAAACACAAAATATTAATTTATATTTAATGTGTGTTGTTTGTTCACTTTTAACTATGATATAGGTACTTACTGGCTACTATTGTAGTTAAATATAAGTCAATAGAAAACGATGCATTTACTTGGACAATAGTACTTGGAGATACAACAGTTAAGTTGCAACTGAACAATCGACAGATCTCATTGTTATGTATGTAAGATCTACATACACGTATAACCAATGTAATGTATCGTTGGTTTCATGATTTATAATTTGATGGTATGTTTTTGATCTTAGAGTTCAAAATTGACAAGTCTGTACACTAAAAGAACCTCTGGCGAGACATAGCGTCCTGCAAGTTCTGATTGTTTCCAAATGTGTGTTTATGTGGAACTACTGTTATAGCATATAAGTGTTCCATCTTGTGTCACTACACAAGTGAATAATAATCATGAAAATAAGTAATAAATAAGCATCGTCCAAGTATTGCAACCCGTTACAAAAAATATTTGTTTATATACAAGTAGTACCTATATAATATATTATATGCAGTAAAATGGACAAATACGAAGAGTAAAAATACATTAAAATATTAGATGCTGATGATGATAATATGATATTATATTATAAAATTTAAAATGAAATATCAAATAGGTACTAAAAGTGTATATAAAATTAATTTGTACTAAAATATTTCAATAGCACCATTAAATGTTTGTAAATTGCGATTATATTATATTGGTATCACACAAATTTTAACAGAACTGTAGACAATTTTAGGCGAACAAAAAAAATTATTATTTTTTAAATTTAATTAACATAGTCAACTTAAGTAGTCACTTAAATAGTTACTTGAATCTACATAACGTTAATTTCTTTGAAGAAAAACACTAATATAAAATGGCTATTTTAAACAAACAAAATCTAAATCAAATTATTTATAATTCTCTATGACTAGCCGTTTATAATATTATTGACAACATTATACGGTTAAATTAATAGAATGGTGAATATATTTATAATTTATACTATAAAATTAAGATTCTTGTAGAAAAAATTCTGTAGGTACCTACCTAGTACCTGCCACTTACAAATTAACAAAAATAAACAGGGCTTATATACAGAGGTATTTTCTATTTTTATTGTTTCACCAAGAAACTACTTTTAGATCGATCATTTAGATCAGTGTTTTCCAACTGTTCCACTGAAACCAAAGGTTCCATGAGCTGGCTCCAAGTGTTTCGTGAGAAATTTAGGAAATATAAAATTGATTAATAGTATGTTTGATTTGAATTAAGATTCAAACTTTGATCATCTTCTCTTCTCACTAGTACGTTTCCTTATCTTATGATTAGATATTTAAGATATTTAATAATATAATGAAAAAAAAATATTGGCTGCAATGAGTTCTAGTTCCTGCAAATGTACCGCGACTAAAATAAGTTGGGAAACACTGAATTAGATGATAGAAACATTAATACTTTTTTTTAGGAATACAAGTACCGATATGACAAATTGTATAGGCTATAATATAGATTTTAAAATTTTGAATAATATAAACAAGAAAATGTCTGCAGTCAGCCAAATATTTAAGATTTGGCATGAAAATGCTTTTTTGTACCTTCCATACAAAATAATTTTTTCTCATTTTATATGTTACATAATATATCTTAGTATAAATGTCTGAGCTTTTAGCTTTACGATAAGCTCTTCACGATATGAGTTTGAAATGGTACGTGAACGTGATTTTTCAATATTTGAATTGCATCAACAGTTATTGTTAAAATCAATTAATAAACCAATATTCTGATTTTGAATCCTAATTTTCTTATTACCTGGTTATCCCGACCTATTATATATTATAATGACTATAAGCATGATTTATGATTTTGGTATTTGTTTCGTAGTAACTGGCTTACTACAGTTTTAGAATTAAAAACTAATTGATTGGCCGCATTGTTAATTTCCATTAAAATGCCACTTTCTATTGCTTGTGGAACCCAATTTTTTACGCTTTTTGTTTTTTTACCACAAAAATATTTATGGCATTTGTAATGTTGTCCAAGAACGTGAAATGGCCCATTTATTGGTCCATTTATTTATATTGGTCATCTGTAAAAATAAACCGTCATTGCATGTTGGTGTTTTGTAAAGTACCACAATTGACAACAACAAATGCAAACTTTGTACCCGATAAATTTACTGATATAGAATGTTTATGGGACATTGAAACCGAATTAATATGTGAATATGGTTTACCGTATACATATACTACATTTCCCACTTGCCACTCGGAGCTGGAAAGCACTTCTATGGTTGTCGATAAAACTACATCAGATTCTATGTTCTGGGAAGAATTGAGTTCGTTCAACAATCAATTTATTTCACCAGCCACATAGCGATTAGAGCCAACGACGTCATCGACCACACCCAAACAAACAACTACAACTGATAGCAGGCCGATCATTAGACCGGGGTCAATTGTAGACATGTTACATACACGACAAGAGAATATTGATCCTTCGTATACGTCGTTGGAAGATGTTTATCATTATATAAATTTGTAATAAATAACACAATGTAAAATATATTTTTTTTATTATCATAATTATTTAAATTTTTATATTATACATATTAAACAATGGTAATAAAAACAATGGATTAATTTTCTAATCATAATTTCTAAGGAATGGTGCACTTTGCCAATTATACAATAATTTTTGCCAATTAATTCTCGGTTGAAAGGCCGACATACCAAATATAGATAAATTATCGTTTGTTAAAATAATAATAGGAGAACCTTGAAGTGCCTGATCTGATTTGTACTTAACTGAAATACGACAAGAATCACCACCTAATAACGCTTTTAATTCATTGACGTGGTGAGCTTCGTAATTCGGCTCGTTCCATAAAACCAACCGTTTACCGGCTGCTTCCATGAAAGCGAAATTGTTAGTTTTATTTGCCGTACCAAGAAAACCATAGTTAATGAAAGAAGAAGTGACTGCGTCAAAAAAATAATTTTTACCCGCATTAGGTGGTGTAAGTATTGCCAATGTGTTACATTTTGGTATTCTTTTATCTAAAACGTTGATTAAATCAGTAAGAAAATAAAATATATTTTCAGTGTTATTATCGAACTGATATAATAATAACTCATTGGCAATACGTACGGACTCTGTAATATTATAATAAACTTGATCTCTGAACCTATAATATGCATTAAAGTACGGGAAAACAGTTTCATCTTTATAGTAATTATTATAATCGTCGAGTGTCCAATGCATTAATTTGATACACCATAACTCAATGTCCCTATCTACGTATTTATTTTTCGCGCATAAGTAATTTAAATTAGAGTTTAGATAATATTCTTTTATATTCATAAAAGCCTCAGGGGAACAACATAGAAATTTATATAATAAATCTGGTATACTTATCGGCCCGTTTTCCGGGCGAAGCCAGGAGTTTTTCGTACCCGTTTTAGATTTTTTAGTTTTATCATCTTTTCCCCTAGGAGCTTGACTATCCTCGACGCATAATTCACTGCTTGATGATTCGCAGGAAATGTCCCGCGGCATCGCTCCATCGCTCCCAGCCAGTATTCCCCCTTCGGCTTGTCCCAAATGTCTTTTCGACTAAAAAGAAAAATAACAATTATACGTTTATACGTTTTACAATTTGATCGTATTTACATAATTTATATCTATTATGCATATATTCATAATTTTCTTTTGTCATATTGCGATAGTGTATCATTCCACATATATTACATTCTTTAGGTTTATCAGGTTCTGTATAGTAATTACTTGTATAGGGATCGAAGTTTCTATAAATCAAATCACTTATATAATTAAAACCAAATTGCTCTGGACTTACGCTTATATAATTGTGAGGGGTACGAACAATTAATTTAAATAAATAATAAGATGTTTCGTCGTATGTATTCATAACTAAATTAAATTGTTGTAATTCTCTACTGTTTTCAATATCTAAAATGTCTATTAAGTCGTCGGGATTCTGTGTGTCATACTCGTATTTTAATTTTTTAATCATTTTGAAACCTACTATTTTATTATATAAATTTTTTTTTCTATTAATGTAATTTAAACGCAACTATCTAACATAATTTACTAATACTTACCGATAAATATTTATATCTATCAAATAATCTTCCATTCTCTCGGAAGCCTCCAATGCAGTGGACGCGTCGGCCGCCCTAAAATAGGTATCGCAGTACGTTTCTGTAATCTGCTGCCCCGAAGTCAACGCTTCGAGAAATCCTACAAAGTCCACGTCTTCCGTACTTGCTCCAAAATGTTCCTCGAAGGAGGAAGGAGCACCTGCAAGATCCTCCCGAGTACCCACACACGTGGCTGATGTGTATGTGATCGTTGTGTTCGGCGATGATGTAGAAATGTGTTGGGGGGTAACGCTCAATAAGTTTGTCCAATTCTCACAAACAGTTTTGAACTCCCCCAATTCCACCCGGCACAATGATTCTGCTGACATACCTATAATTATTTTTAATTAATATTTTTTTAAGTAAATAAACTAAAAATATTTACCGATGGATTCCAGAGACAAATTTTGCAGCCAATTCACGTCCAAGTGTGGTAAGGAGGTCGTCATAGACTTCCTCATCAGATTGTATAGTTTCGTCATCGAACTCGCTTGCAGTATCATCGTATTCTCCCAAATCGACTGAATGCCCGTCGTTGTCCATTTCTTCGGATGTATTACTGTCTCTACGACTGGGAGAGGACAAATTACGAAAATAATCGTCACCAAACAAAGGATTGAAAATTCGTTCGTCTCCGTCGGAAATAAAATTTGACAAAAAGCCAAAAGGTCCGTCTCCTCTATCAAATTATTTTCCAGTTTCTTCATTGCCCATGTCTTCAGATCCACTAGTTTCACTTTTTTCATCTCCAATTCCAAGGTCAAAAATTCCTCGTCCTCCGTCACTGTTGTTGTCGCTTTCTTCATACTTTTCGGTTTTTTCGTCGGTAAGGTTGACTGCCTCTCGCTTTTTCTTTTCGTTGAACCACTGGTGGAGGAGTTCTCTTCCGGTGATGTGTTCGCGACTTCTTTGCATCCTTCAATAAAAGACATAATAAATTTGTGTTTTATTCAAAATTACTCGTAACCAGTTTGATATATAAACTATCGTAGCACGTTGTTATTTTCGTAATGAACAAGACACACTAACAGCAATTACTTTTTAGGCCTTATTTATATTAGTCGAGACAATGGATTGTTATTGATATTTAATGTCATATCAGCGATAACTTTTGTACTTAGTATTAAAGATAAACTATTGCGTAATTTGGGCGGCGGCGAAAAACGCAAGCTGGATGCTTGCTCAAATATTATACGTAATATAATATTTCTACTCCAACATCAACAACCACAGCAATTGTTTGTTTAATAATATTATTATAACATTATAATCATGAATAATATTAGTATAATGTTATTATAATAGTATTATAATATCATCGTTAAGGAATGCTGTCCGGAAAAGTTTCACCGTCCTTAAATATTAGTATCTAGCATTATTATTATTATTGGCGGAGATGATGATGATGATGATGATGTGTGCTAATGACCGCAAATTCGAATCTATATAATAAATATTATAATATAAAAAATGAGTGTATACAGAAAATTATATCTGCGAACCATATACGATTTAAGGACATATAATAATAATAATTTTTTTTTTTTTTGCTTTATGGGCCATTTAGGCCTTTCGCAGCTTCTGATAATCCTCTCCACAAATTACGGTCATTAGCGGTCTCAATGTCTGCAGTTCCGTTTATCATCCTTATGTCTACATTGACTCTATCTTCCCACCGTTGTCTAGGTCTTCCCCTGGGGCGCTTGCCAGCTGGTTTATTTATCAGTACCTCCCGAATTATACTACCTTCCGCGCGCCACGCATGACCCGCCCATTCTAAATGTTTGGAATTCAAAAAGCATTTAATACTTTTTTTATTTTACAAAGATTCAAAGTGCTATTTTTCCTCCTTTTGTAACGTTCTGGTACTTGGGTACCTACTATTGTTTGATAATAGTAGACAAGTGGCTACCAGTACGTTAATGTTGCAGGTCGCAGACACTTTTTCAGATAATATAGTCGTGGTTGATGAATGAATAATATAACAGTTGTTGTATAATTGTGAATTTTATTATAACACTCGATAATTTTACTAAGTTCAAATATTGTTGTACAGAGTGGCGTGAAGGTGCTTGCACTAATGTGTGGTAATACACGTCTGAAAACAGGCCTATTCGGGCTCCCTTATATATTTCCCTCTTATAAACCCGGTTTGGTATTCTCCAATAATATCAGTTGCATATTTTTCCAACCTGTTGAGAATTGTCAGAGACAGAACCTTATAGCTAATACAAATAATAATATTAATAAATTATTAATAAGTACTATTATTACTGTAGGATAAATTAAATATGTAAATCACTTGATATAACTTTAAATAAGTCAGTGCAGGAGATTACGTTGTATGCGTATTGGCCTGATGAAGACGACTAAATTATAATTCAATGCAATTTAATTAACTTAATGACAGCAGAGACACTAACACCCCACCACCACCCTCGGCCGCAACGATCCTTGTGCGTGCGAAAATGACCCTGCATCGGAATACTTTGACTGGCGGGCGGAACAATGACACCCCATTGTCCGATAAACATTATTAGCGATACAGCAATAATTGAGGTGATTACATACTTTTTATCGCGATTCCTTGTCTGATGCATGTGGGATCAAATATCATACATACCGAGTCGCCGCATATATGTATAATATATTGATAATATTTTGGCTAATGAATGATGATTGAACAGTGCAATGTGCATTGTTTATGTATTACCACACAATTATGACACTATATTATGTGTATGTAGATGTGAACATTTTCGTTCAAATAAAAACTCTACGACTGTATAATATAATATGTATGTGTTTATTCATTAAAATATAATATTATTTAGAAAAACTAAACACTATAATATATAAAATCCAAAAAATATTATTCTACCAATTATTTATAAGCCATCTGCGTAATGCATAAACTCTATGATAACATGTACATTGTGTGCGATCTAAGTCCATGTGATAAATACAGCACGGAGATCCTAGGTCATAGTTTTCAACATGATTGTGAGAATAGTTAACATTATAATAAATAGAATTATTATTAATATTATGCAATGACTCAAAAATAAGTCGGTCAAAACTCAGTCGGTAGAGCACGAGACTATTAATCTCGGGGTCGTGGGTTCGAGCCCCACGTTGGGCGCCACTTTGTAATGACTCAAAAATTACGATATAAAATAAAATACGACGCCTGTCGATAAATATATTAAAATCGTAAGACTAAGCAATTACCTTCCTCCAGGTGCTCGGAGGGCTCTCGAGATCGTGTTTTCGAGAATTAGATCAAATGCACTATACAACACAATCGTATATAAAACATGCACAGATAATATAATAAATGCAATTAATATAAAATATTATATTAATTGCCTTACCATATCCGCAGTCGATTGTGAATTATTTTGTAAGGGTTTTAATAGACACAGAGTAATATTTTTTTAAATTATAACTCGAAATAATAAACGCACTGATTATTGCTCACATAAGGAGTCCAGAATGTTGCTCGTTGAAATCGTTTTTTTTAGACTTTTTTTGGAGGTTGTTACTCTGTGAATGGTGCTCATGCACTGGTTTAAGGGACGACGCGACACGCGACGATGCTGACCAGAGAGTGGTAGGCGGCTTTATCAAAAAAAAAGGTTATCGTGAGCTTGGGAACTAGATTATTCTTTGGCGGTAGATACCCTTTTTTTCCTTTCCTTTTCTCTTTCTTTATCGTATAATAAAGTCACACACACTGCGTTTTACCGTTATGAGTGGGTGCGGATATCTTAGTTGTCGTTAATAATGGTTTTATTTGATGTGACCGATTTCTACAAACGACAGTCTGGCCGTTATTTATTAAGTATTCTGTAAGATTTTAGTTTATTATAATGGTGTGTGAGCATATCATTACAATTATTATAATTAGTATTATCATCGTAATTATCACTAGTAGATGACATATAAAACACTTTAATACTTTCCATTTCCACAAAATAGAAAATTTAAAGAATATATAAAAATATCATTTTTATAGAAAATAAATATAAATATAAAATAAAGGTAGAAAAAATTAAATTATAAAACATTATGGTTATATTTTAAATTTATAGATAAGTACGTATGCTTTAAGACAAAAGCCGTTTTTATGATATTTTTGGACAATACTTTATATAATAATTTATACAATACTTTGATATGTACGTATACTTTAACACAAAAGGTGTTTTTATAATATTTTGGACAATACTTTATGCAATAATTTATATAATACTATATATACTATTTTATTTATTTTTTTTTTTGAATGCCCTAGGGATTTATTATATAGACGACCCAAAGGTCTTTATAAATATGTTTGACAATTATATATATTTTACATACTAGATATAAATTGTATATATATTACACGTTGATGGAGTCACTTCCAATGAAGTACCTCCTGCCTTAATCTAAATCTCAAACTAGGTGGTATGGTTTCAGACGCTTAAGACGTCTGATGTCCTTGGAGTTATCTAATAGTTTGATGGCCAATGGATTGACATGGTGATCTAGCCTCGTCTCGTGTTTGCGAGCAAACCTTTGGATTTCTTCTGCTATTGTAGGTAGCATCATATCACGGCGAATTGCGTTGTTTCTCTCGAACCGGTAGGCTGCAGTGATGGTCCGAAGGGCAATGTTTTGACAGCGTTGTATTACATCGATGTTACACCTACTGGCACAACCTCACAATTGAATGCCATATATCCAGATCTTTTTTATAATTGCTACATACAGTAGACGTTTGTTTTCGATGGTTATCTCGGAGTGAGGTCCGACTAGCCAATAAAGTTTTCGCATTTTTTCTTTAATCTGAATTTTTTGCTGTGGGACGTGGTGTTTCCAGTTCAGACGAGAGTCAAGGTGCATTCCAAGATATTTTGCTGAATCTTTTTGTGGGATTGGTGATTGATTCAGTACTATTTGGATGTTTTCGGTTTTGCGTAACGTATAGTTAGCTCCGATTTATCGCCATTGATCTTAATTTTCCAACGTCTTGTCCAGGTAAAGATATTGTCAATTGACCTCTGTAAGTTATCAGTTGCAGTGAGATGACTATTACGTGTTGAGAAAATTGCCATATCATCGGCAAACATAGCTAATGTTATGTTAGCATCGTTCGGTATATCAGCCGTATAGAGTAAGTACAGGATAGGTCCTAAAACATTACCTTGCGGTACTCCAGCTGATATATCTTTCCATTCGGTTATCGCTTCTTCGTGTATGACTAGAAATTGACGGTCAGTCAAGTATGATTCAAGAAGTGCACACCAGGTATGTGGCAGCTGATCACGCAGTTTGATGAGGAATCCTTTGTGCCAGAGCTTTACTAATTACATTAGTAACTCGATGTACTTGATCGATTGTTGAATGTGTGTTGCGAAATCCAAACTGAAGTTCTGGTATAAGATTTTTTTCCTCTATAATCGGGTTTAAACGTTTAAGCTATACAAAAAGCTTTGGAGAAAGGAAATAATATTCGAAGTCTTCACCCCAAATATATTTTTCTAATGTTTTAAGGCACACATCGTCATTTTCTTCACCCTTTATCTATGATAGTAAATATTTTATGCATAATGCATAAAACAATAATAAAATGAACATACCATTTGTTCGTTGTTGTTGTTGTCGATCAACACAATCCTCATATATATGCTTAACATCGTTTCTAGTCTATAACAGCATTAATCGGTAAGGCAAGTGCTACAATATTATGTCATACTAACTTCGTCAACTGAAATGGTTTCCGGGCTTAACAAATTACTGTAATATACCCGTCTTGGTGTATTTGATAGCTACAAAATTTATTATTTTTAGTTATATAAAAGTAAATACATAATTAAACGTATCATTTCATTCAACTGGCCATTTGCTAAAAATTCAATAAAAAAATCTGATAGAGTTTTTAAAAAAAAAGGAATAAACCAAACAATAATGTATTAATAAACCAAGATTCGGAGAAGTGAGATTTGTCGATGATGAAGATAAATTAATATAAATAGTATATTGTATAAAAAATAATAAAAAAATAACATAAAATAGTATGATAAAATGCTGTTAGAAGTTTCAAGTTTGTATTGAATCTAGTACCTAATATATATAATTGTAAAATAAAAATTCATAATAAAAAACTATTGATAATTATTTTATTTATTAATCTATTTACATTTGAATCTAGTAACTAATCTATTTACATATATATATATATATAATATATTTATAATAAAACTCAACAATTATTTATAAGTCTTCATCGGATGTGTCCGGTGAAAACGTTTCAGACATTTCCTCATCTGATGAAAACTCCTCCTCTTCGTCGTCACTACTATAAATATTTTAAATATTAGAAAATAATAATAATAATAATAATAATAATAGTAAACTTACTTTACAAAATGTTGGTTTTCTACACGCAGATTTATGTGTAATGTAATAGGAGCGTTTCCCAAAAAATCTTCACCTAACCGGAAAACCTCGCGCATATATTCTATCTGTGGCCTATGTATTTGGATTGGGCGAACTAGAAGTCGTGGCTGTTCGACACTAAACACCGAATATAAGAAAATAATAATGATAATATAATGATAGTAATTATAATAATAATATTAAACTTACGGTGCAAATAGCTCGGCATCTGTTGATTGTTCGTCTTCGTCTTCGGTAACGGGCATAGAAGTGTATTCGCCTATTATATCAGATGATGAATTGTAAATATATATATATATATATATATATATATATAATTAATTTTTATTTTAGAAATGTATAATAAGTTTTAGTATATGATGTTTTAATTTTACTACATGTTTCATTTAATGCCTTATCATCATCAGTGTAATCTTTACCCCACATCAATTTGTCCAATGCTTCGAGACATATAGCGTCACTGGCTTCAGCATCTATTTTCTCCACAACATGCATCATTTTGATTTTCTATAATATTAAATACATATTGTATTTTTAATGCATAAAAACAATAATAAAATTAACGTACCATTTGTTAGTTCGTAATTTTGTTCATAGTCATGCTCGACAACAGAGATATTTTCTTCCTCTAGGTTTAATAATGTGCTATAAAAGACACGTCTTGGTGTATTTGATAGCTATAATATATATAATTTGTATTATTATTTTTAATTATAATATGGGAATAATTTTACTTACCGTTTTATCAAACTCCCCATTCGCTAAGAAATCAATGAATCCTGCTGATATATCTGGCGTATATTCTGACGATTGACTGCTGTTACAGAGATGATGTAGAAGTGGGAAGGGGGGTACATTTCAATAAGTCGGTCCAGCTCAAACAAACATTTCTGAACTCCGCCAACTCCACCAGGCACAATAATTCGGCTGACATATCTAATTAAAAAAAAAATATATTATATTATTATATATATATATATATATATATAATATATATATAAATTATAAATATTACCTATGGATTCCACTGACAAACTTAGAAGCCAGTTCACGTCCAATTCGTTCGATGAGGTCGTCATACTTTTGCGCATCAGTTGATACAGTTGGGTCATAAGGTTCGGCTTCATGATCATCGTGTTCTCCCATATCACTTGAATAGGCTTGCTCATCCATTTATTCGGATGAATAACTGTTTCTACGACTTTCAGTGGACAAGTTACAAAAATAATCATTACCAACGAGAGGGCTGAATATTCGTTGGTCCGTGTCGGGAAAATCAGTTGACAAAAACTGAGGAGATCCGCCTCCTCGTCCAAATCCTTGCTCAGATTGTCCATCGCCCACGCTTTCAAGTTCACTAACTTCGTTGTCTTCATTTCCGTCTCCATATCTACTACTTCCTGGTCCTCTATTGTCACCGTCTCCGTGACTGGATTCACTATTGGTGCCACTGAAGTTTTCTTGGTCCTCGATTTTTTCGTTACTGACGGACCGGGACGTTCGTTTTTTCGCTTCTGACATCCATTGTTTGATGATGTCTCTTCGGAAGTTTTGCATGTTTCTCCAATAAAAGACATAATAAAATGTTCAATTTGTTCTAAAATACTCGTAAGAAGGTTGATACAAAACTATCGTAGACTTCGTTATTTTCTTAAAGAACAAAACGCACTGAACATAATGTGATCGATGCTCCTATTTATATCATACAAAACAATAGATTGTTATTGGTATTAAATATCATATCACTGATAATCTATGTACATTGTACTTAGTATTGGCGATTAAGTATTGCGCAATATGACGCGTGCGAAAGACGAGAGCTGGATGCTTGCTCAAATATTATAAAATAATATTTTCACTATGCTCGCCAACAGAGATATTTTCTTCCTCTAGGTTTAATAATGTGCTATAAAAGACACGTCTTGGTGTATTTGATAGCTATAATATATATAATCTGTATTATTATTTTTAATTATAATATGGAAATAATTTTACTTACCGTTTTATCAAACTCCCCATTCGCTAAGAAATCAATGAATCCTGCTGATATATCTGGCGTATATTCTGACGATTGACTGCTGTTACACGACATTTTTAAATACTTTTGCACAACACCACGGTGCCTTTACAAGTGTTGACTTAACAGTATTTCCAATAAATAATGTTCACCAATAAGACCATCTATAAAATAAGTTGAATATTACAAAAAATGTATCAGCAGTCTCCCTACATTGGGGGTAATTATTCAGATTTATATATTTATTATATTTTTAGACTTTTAATTTATATATATTTTATATACTTTTAACTTGTGATTTAATATTTATTATTTTTAAAATATAAATTATAATTCATCCAACTAATATTTTGGTAGTAAAATAATAATAATGTTCTGTTACCTGGGCTGACAGCTAGAAATGAAAATTCTGGATCTAAAATCAAACCATTCTCATAAACTTTTTCTTTCGACAATTGTTCAAATTATTGACGAGCTAAAGTCTCCATTTCTCTACCATACTGTACCGATTTTGTTTGTAGACTGTCAAAAGCATATAAAATATTATGAACTACATTTTTGCAGCTAGTGTTTGACCACATTTTACAAATTTGACCAAATCTTGAAGCTGTTAGTCGTATTTTACGTTCGTTGTACTACATTTCACTGTTGCTTTGTTCTCGAGTTTCAAAATCGATTTTTTTTACATCAGCTCGACCTAATTCTTCTAAAAATGTAATTTTTTTGTTTTCCATTTCTTCTGATGAAAAAAATTCTATTAGAGGTTCAGCCAGTCCATAATCTTCGCCTTCTCCATCCGTTTTAGATTTTTTAGCTTTTTTTTTTTCTGGAAATAATTGCCTTATTTTACTGGTATTAAGCCGTATTCTTTCACTGTTCTTCAAAAACTTTTTTCCAAATATTCCTGTAATAAAATAATTGTGTAGCTAACCTATATTAAAGTTACTATTTTATTAAACGTAAATATGCATTTTACCTGGACTACATTTATTTAATGTTTTATGAATTTGTCTTAAATATTGTTTGGAATTAAATGACACAATGGCAGCTTCTACTGTCGTATTATAATTACCTCTACTACTAAAATTTAATCGTTTTCCGGCAATGTGTTTATTAATAACAGAATTAAACGGTTCACAGATATTAGAAGTCTTATTTTCTAATAAACTTTCCGCATTAGTTACAAGCCTTGAAGCAATGTTCACTATTTCCCTCATCATTCCACTAGTTTCAACTTCTGGGACTAAATTTAATTGAATTTGTTTTGATCGATCACAAAAATATGACCTACAATTTGAATGATAACCAAGTCTGTGATATGGTGCATTGATTAAATCACATCTGAGACCTAAAATTATATATATTTTAGCCTTTTTATGCAATAAAGAAATGTTGGTAAATTGGCCAACAATATTACAAAATATAATACACTATGATAGAACAACATACACATTTTAAAATAAATTATTATCCTACTCCAACCAAATTCCAAAATTATAAATAGGTACCTTTAATTTGTTGTGTTTTGGTAGTATTGATTTCTTTTCTCCAATGTAATGCTGCCATATGAACATCACATCTAAATCGCTTAATGTTTGATAATATAAATTTGCGAACACGAAGAGGGTAACTTGAATTTCCAGCTAGTGTTGTTAGTTTCGAAGCATAATTTCTCATAAGATGGTTTTTTCACTCAATTTTTCTTATTATAAAGTTAAAGCCATATGGTCGACTTTCCGCTAACCGCTTAGTAACGCTACTATCTCCATCACCTTAATATCAAAACATTATTTATTATTGTAATTATTATCATTATTATTATTAATATAATAAACACAATTTTTTTATAGACAATATTTTTTTTCAAATTCGACGAAATTTGGAGGGACCGTCTCCGCTCAGAATTATTATTCGTATACAATGATAATATCTTTGAATTAAAATTAGCTCATAATTTACCAATTAAACAATTGTATTTAAGACCATGCATTTCAACGCTGTTGGAAAATCCTTGTAGCACACCATCTGCTTCCATGCAAGTTGAAGCCTTTTTCCGGTTGAAGAAACATGTATGTACAGGTTTTTCTTTATCCTTCATACTTGAAGACCTTTGACAAATTATGCAATATTTATTTCGAACCCCGACAAATAAAACTTTTTGGGCCCTTTAACCAATTATTGATACCTGTAAACAAATATATAATAAATAAATTGATTAAATAAATTAATAAAATAAATATACATATATACTATAATATAAATAATAAATACTAAATATATAGGTACATTGGATGAACTCAAAATATTTTTTAATATAAATGTACTTAGATAATAAGTACGTACCGCGCCTGATAATGCATCGTACTTGGTTTTATAGCTTCGCTTGGACCATTGACCGTCTGCGACCACTGTAATAATTGATACGCCGTCCACATCCAAGCTACCAGATTCTATTGCTAATCTCCTTTCTTCTCCACCGGCTTTTTTCATTTCGTCCCAAGCTGTAGCGTGAACTATTTCAGCTACCTCGGTTTGAACACGCAAAAAACCAGAACTGGACAATGCAGGCAAATCAAGAAATCCTGATAGTTCTGCTAACTGTGTATGTCCAATTAATACCTATAGCTTGGCAAGCATTTACCGCAGAATTATTTATTTCTGAATTATGAATATATTCCGAATGTAGTCTATTTTTAATATTACACACTGTACACTTAAAAGTAAAAACTGATATAAATCCATAGTTCGCTTCTGATTCATATTATGTGTCAATAAACGAACAACCATAAGGACCACTATGCCGTTTTTTAATTTGTTCTATTATATGAGACATGTTGACGATTCTCCGACCAGTTAACATTCTAAAATAATAAACATTTATTTTATGCATTCATTGTATTCAAATGATGGTAATAAAAGTCAAATTAATTTTTTACGATCGTTCGAAGTTGGACATTGGATATTTACACGTCAATTAACAAATTGGCATACGATTGTTTTATTTTTTGTTATTCAAAAACGAACAACCATGGATAATTTTAATTATGTTTATTTATCATTTTCAAAACATGATAAAACGTTCAAAATATTTTTATTCGTTTTTATAGCTATTTACAGACTTTTTTCTAGTTTTTATTTTTTTTTTTATTCGTTGGGTTAAAAAGCTTGAAAATTTAGTACAAGGCTCCTCTTATACATTGTTACAATAATAGTTTCTAATTATTAAAAATAAAAGCCACGATTTTTTTATAAGCGTATAGAGTTCAAATGTTGACAACATTTATCAAATAAAAAATGTACAAATTATTTTGTTGTTACAAATATATAAAATATTCAATTTTTATAGCTAAGAATTAAAAATTTTAGACTATGTTCCTCTTAAGTTGTTATAATTGGAGTCCAAAAATATAAAAGACATATAGACACGTTTTTTTTTTAATAGATTTTTTAAGTTCAAATTTGGACGAAATTAGTTGAAGTAAAGATATAGTAACTTTGGTTAATTTGTTGTGCTTTAAAAATATTATTTGCGGGTTATTGAAACTTTTAAAATATATTATTATATTCTATACACAATAACATTTTCAAATGCAATTTTTGATTTAACCTTACAGACATACTTACTGAGGATTTGATTTATTTGTGTTAATTGATGATAATAATAATAATAAGAGTTAAAAATTAATATATATATTGTCAACTAAGTTATGAACAAAAATATACAAAAACTCACTAAACTTCATTTGACCATTCAGTTACTTTCGACGATGACATTAAAGGCGTAATCACGTTTTCAATCATAACATTTGCACTATAATTTAGGAAAATGAAAATGTATTGACTAGCTTACAAGATAATAGGTAATAAGTAGTACCTAGAGACTTACTCTTTCTTAGGAATAAACTCTTTGTTTGGTGATTGTATATATTTAGAGTCAATAATTGGTGAAATATTTAAGTCCCTAAAAAAAAAATCGGTATACATTTTTATTATAATATAGACAGTATAGTCACTATAACGAAAATATAGAATTTTTTTGGCTACAACTAAAATACGATATTATATTATATTTATTTTAAAATGTATATCGGTAGTCAGTCTGTTATTTGAATTCAAACCAATCATGGGC